GGGGGGGGGGGGAATGAGGTAGATGAGGTAAGAATGGGGGGCAGGGAGGGAAGGGATAGTGGGACAACAATAAGGGAAGGGGTAACAATGATCAACAAGTAATGTACTCATTGCCTTACTCATGCAACTGTAACCCCTCTGTACAGCATCTCTACAATAAAATAAAATAAACAACAATTTTACTCAAAAAAGACTTACCTCAAAGTATTTTATTTTTTTGGCATTTCTCACTGCAACAGAAAGCAACTTGTAGAAACCACTGATAAGTGGTAACCGTGTAGACTGTGAAATTAACTCATATGAAAAAGAATACACCCATGGTTCAAAATATCTTACTTGCTTCTCAGGGAGGATCTCTCTGTAAAAACAAATTAAATGTTTGAAGCAGAAATTTCTGTCCTACTCATTTTGAATTAGATTTAAATTTATAAGAAACATTAAAAGTATGTACTACAATTTTATCCTATAACATTTTTAGGTATGCTAACAATTTTAAGAATGTACATCTTCCTTTTCATCCTACCTGAGACACACACACACATACACACACACACACGCATACACACACACATACAAGGGAAAGGGAATAAGGCAATATTGGGGTTTGAACTCAGGGCTCCACATTGGCTTGTATGCCCATATTTCAAAGATCTATATGATTTTATGTTTTAAGTTTTTATTACCTCATTTCTTAAATTCATATAAGGTGTTTCCTTTATTACAGCTAAAATTAATCAATTAAAAATTAAAATTTTATAAAATACCTGCAAAACTCCACCAGGTTAATGAAAGCTAAAAAATCTTTAGGTTTAGCGGGATGCAAGTTAGCAGCTGGATCTGAGGTAGGGATCACCCAAATACCAGCAGCTTCAGTTCCATCCTGAAAAATTAATTAAACCAAAATTATACCATTCAAACAAACCTCATTCAAAAACTTTCCAACTGACTCCTCAATCTATATTAGATATTATGAGGAAAGAAGGCAAAAGTAAGATAGAGATGAATCCTCAAGAACTGACACTTCAGGAAGAACAATAAACTTGAAGAAACATAATTACTCCTTTAACTGAAGAAAGCAATTTCCCCCAATCTCCTGAGGATGTACTATTATTTTACATGCAAAGACAGCTAGCATAAAAATGATATAAAATTATGATCAATAAAAACTTCTAACCTCTTGTTCACCAAGAGTCTGTTTTTCTAATGTAAGATCCAATTTCTCCACGATCTTCAAAACTGATTTTACAAATTCATCATAGAGTAAACGGTTCAGACTTTGAAGAGATGAATTCACAAAGAGAAATGTTTCATCTACTAAAATGAAATCCTTTAAAGAAAAATGTAAAACATCAAAATCTTGTATAGAAAGTATTAATATAAATATTATAGTCAATAAGATATACGGAGAGGCATATGTATACTGAGGTATTATATCCAAACTGTAGCAGATATACTTGGAATTTTCAAGCTCCAAACTTAAATACTTTCCAAATAATGTGATAGTATCTTTTTATTCAAACAGTATGACTCAGAGCCTAATTTTGTAACAAATACTCCGCATATAATAAAAAAGAAGATCGAGGCCACCTCTTGTCCAAGCATTTACCCCCAAATATTTGTGTGTGCATACTTAAGCCCACATATGTATGACATACATATACACACATGTATGCATGTATGTGTGTAAATATATGAACATACAAGTACATATATGTAAATATATATCCAGGCTCAGAATATTTTTATATTTATGAATGAAATAGCCCCCTAATAAGTAATATAAGCTTAAAAGATGATATTTTTAAACATTAAAAAAGGAAATATATAATTATATAATAATATACATAATAAATATTTAAATATATAATAAATACACTGTAGGCATCTCTGAAGCTGAGTTGGCTGTGAAACCTGGAAAAGGTTTAAGAGGCTGGAACATGGCTTCAACAGCACTTGGAACACTGGGAGCTGGCCATGGAAGGGTTGAAACAGCTTTGGAGAGGGTTAAAAGTCTAGAATGCTGCCTTCCTTCCTTAGTGCAGGAAAGACTGGAAGCTGGACCTTGGGTGCTAGAGACCTTGAAGGCAGAAATAAAAAGCTGACAGCTTAACCTGGGAGGGGGAAGAGGGGAGGGGGTTAGATAAGGTGGACTTAATATCTGTACTTTCCCTGGGCTGTGGTCTCCTGTCTTAAAAGAATAAGGGAAACAATGTCTCTCACAAACTCTGTTTTGGCTCATAAGGAAAACAAAACTGTTTTGGCTCTGATTATAATATTAATATAGATGTTTTATTTTTTACATGTATCCATAGTAATCTTCTCTGTGTGAACTCAAATAAATATGATTGCTTGTGGGCCCAAAGTGCCTGTGTGTCTTGGACCCCTGGTGCCCACTATCTCTCTAGCTGTCTACATCTCCATTTTTTTCTAATTTTCTTTGGCTCCAGTATCCAGTCACTGCCCAGGTTACAGTTACCACTACAGGCACATAATCTAACATTTTTCTTTAAAAGATAAGCTGTTTGGGTTAGGGATGTGGTTCAAGCAATTAAGTGCCTGCAAGTAAGAGGCCCATAATTCAAACTCCCAATTCTACTGTAAGAAAAAAAAATTTTTGACAAGATAGAAATCAGTTACTAAAAAACTTTTCTTTCACTATTAATACTTCATCAAAAAGTGTATTAAAATACTAGCCACCAGCAAACTAAAGATCTATCATCTAGAAATGCACTAGGAGGCACTATTCTAATATAAACTATACAATAGCTGTGTACCAATCCCTCATACATATTAAGCCAACTAAATTTGTCCTTCAGCAAAAAACACAATTGAGGGTGTGGCTAAGAAGTAGAGCATGTTTTTCGAATTCATAGGCATTGGGTTCAATCCCTAACATCACAAAAAAGAGAATAGCTCTTCTCTGTAGATAATACTGTTAAGCTGTAGCCTAAAAGGCCTGACTTGGAAAGAATAGTACATCTGCTGTACTACTTTGCTACATAAAACTAAACTGAGGATTCAGCTACAATAAATAATTTTAAATGCTCTCTATATTTGTTTCTTTTGATTCCCTCAACTCTCTTAACATTGTCTTAATTTTTAATTGAGGTATGTTTTTAAACAGAACTGTGCAAGTTGGTAAAACATAATTGTGAAATACATAAGACACAATAACTATGGAGTTTCTTAATAAGATTGGAACTGAAGAATTTTTAATGACTTTCAAATAATAAATTTTACCATCATCTGGTCACAGCTCAAGAGATGTCTAAAAAGATCCACATAGTCCTTGTACGTGGGCACCTTCCATTTGCCAGTTCTAACCTCCCCCGAGGCACGAAGGTCTTCAGATTCAGACTCAGTACCCTGGCCAGGAAGACAATTTACCAATAATGACTTGTGAGCTCACAAAAGCAGTTGCGCCGCACACATTCAGAATTTTCTAAAACTAAAAGAACAACTAGTAGGAGACTGTACAAAAATCAAGAAGACAGTTTTTATGAACACATAATTTTTTTAAAACAAAAAGCTGAAAAGGGAAAATTCTTCTGTGACTAAAACCAACAAGTATTTTGACACAGTATCTATCAGATTAGCTACAAATCCTTCATCTCTTTTTTATACTATTCAATCTCCCATTAATCCTGTTTACTGTAACTTCTAAACTATGCCTCTCATAATACATATACATGTACTTTCTCCTAGTTTAGTTAACAATAACATGCTTCAGAATATTTTAATATCATAGAAGTGTATTATCTAACAAAATAAAGGTATGCACACTTCAAAATGTAAGACATGAGCTATGAACATGGTTCAAGTAGTAGGGCTCTGCCTAGCAATCACAAGGCCTTGAGTTGAAATCCCTAGTACTGTAAAAGAAAACACATACACACACACACACACACACACACACATACACACACACAAAGCCATGGGTAATAACTGAGAAAGGTCATTTTTATAACTAAAGGCCATTTTTTTTGGTGGGGGGTCTGGACGTGGGGTGTGTACTCTGGGCCTGGGCGCTATCCCTCAGCTCTTCAGCTCAAGGCTAGCGCTCTACCACTTGAGCCACAGCACCACTTCTGGCTTTTTTCTTTTTGCTTATGTGGTGCTGAGGAATTGAACCCAGGGCCTCAGGCATGCAAGGCAAGTGCTCTACCACTGAGCCACCTTCCCAGCCCCATAAAGGCCATTTTTATAAGTAAAAACCTTAGCAACATTTCTAGCTTACAGAACTACCTAATTAATTTTTGAATTGCTAGATTCAGAACTTACCTTTTGAAAGAGCACTGGTTTAGAGCATATTCTGATTAAACCCTGATGCACTAGAGAAAAGAAAAACAAAGAATGAAAAAAAGTAAAAACCATTACTTAATTCAAACAACTACCATTATCATTTTACCTATTCCAAACTTTTTTAACACCTCCAGTTTTTAAATTTTAAACTATTTTAAAATTTAAAAGCTTTACCTAGCCTGGTGTTGGTGGCTCACACCTGTAATCCTAGCTACTCAGGAAGCTGAGATCTGAGGATTGTGGTTCAAAGCCAGCCCAGGCAAGAAAGTCTATGAGACTCTTATCTCCAATTAACCACCAAAAAAACAGAAGTGTGCTGTGGCTCAAGTGGTAGAGTGCTTCCTTGAGCTGAAGAGCCCAGGGACAGGGCCCAGGCCCAGAGTTCAAGCCCCATGGCAGACAAAAAAAATAATAAAAGCTTTACCTGGGGCTGGGAAGGTGGCTCAGTGGTAGAGCGCTTGCCTTGCATGCATGAGGCCCTGGGTTCGATTCCTCAGCACCACATAAGCAAACAGAAAAAAGCCAGAAGTGGTGCTGTGGCTCAAGTGGTAGAACGCTAGCCTTGAGCTAAAGAGCTGAGGGACAGCGCCCAGGCCCAGAGTTCAGGCCCAGGACTGGACCACTCCCCCCCCACCAAAAAAAAAGCTTTACCTGACTTATGTAACTGTAATCCCTCTGTATATCACCTTTATATAACAATAGCAAAATAAAAATAAATAAATTTAATTTTAAAAAGATTTAAAAGCTAAGGATATGAAAAGAGAAACAAAAGATTTGGTTCACCAGAATTTTAGATGTTCCATAAAAAGCACTAAAGATATAATTTTAAAAAAATAAATAAATTTTTAAAAACTGGTAAGCAGGGCTGGGAAGGTGGCTCAGTGATAGAGTGCTTGCCTAGCATGTATAAAGCCTTGGGTTCACTTCCTCAGTACCACATACACACAAAAATCTGGAAGTGGCACTGTAGCTCAAGTGGTAGAGTGCTAGCCTTGAGCAAATGAAGCTTTGGGACAGCACCCAAGCCCTGAGTTCAAGCCCCAGGACTGGCAAAAAAAAAAAAAAAAACTGGCAAGCAGATTTTCTTTATTTATATCCACTTTAAATTTTCATCACTCATTATCATAAATGAACACTCACCCACAGTACTAATGCAATTCCAGAGAACTGGTCCTTTTTCTGCTAAGGCTAGGAAAACTTTCACTATGGCTTTACAGCATAACGACTGCATTTTTGGACTATATTGTGGAAAATTATCTATCTGTGCCACCATCAGATGTTCCAGAACTGGAGTATATACCTCAGGAACCTATCAGAAAGAGAGAAGACACTAAAAGTTAGAGGAGAAAATAAATACAGGAATAATACAAATTGTATACAAAGTAGTTACTACTGAATTAGATGCATATTAGACAAATAAAAACCTGGCTTATCTAATTCGCAAATCTTAATATTATTATGAACACTAACCCCTGAAAAAAAATCAGAGTACAACAGTATGAATAATATTTAAAGTATAATCCTATCCTATGTAGCAATTCTTTATGTTTTAGTAAGACAGAGTAACAATTTTTTTCCCCTGCTCTGGACAAAAAAAAAAAAAACACAAGTTTTTGAGGAAATGAGTGGAGACGGGATTGGTAGAAGGGTGAAGGGTGAATTATTAAAGAGGTATTACTGCTTAAGATGCATTGTACATGTAAATGAACATACTGAATTGAAACTCTTTGTATAACATTTTAAAGATAACTTTTTTTTTTTTTTTGGTCGGTCGTGGGGCTTGAACTCTGGGCCTGGGCGCTGTCCCTCAACTCTTCAGCTCAAGGCAAGCACTCTACCACTTGAGCTACAGCACCACTTCCCATTTTCTGGTGGTTTATTGGAGATAAGAGTCTCATGGTCTCTCCTGCTCAGGCTGGCTTTGAACCGAGATCCTCAGATCTCAGCCTCCTGAGTAGATAGGATTACAGGCATGAGCCACCAGCACCCGCTAAAGATAACTTTTTAAACTATCAAGTTTCATGATGATAATTCCACTGACATGAAATACTAATTTAAAGTATCATTTGACCACAGTGGTGCTTACACTAAACCCATCATATGATTCCATCAAGTTACTAAAGGAAATGTGATAAAATACTTTAAACTGTTCTCAGTTTTATCTATTTCACTTACCGTGTCAAGGTAGAGCAAGACGCTTGCAATAGACTGGAGAAAAGTGGGCATCTGATAAACGTGGTCATCAGTAGTTTCTGTCTGGGTGAGGAACATCTGCTTGCAGCGCTGAATGAGCTCCACATACATGAAGTCAACATCTTTTGCATTTATAACCTTGCAAGGCTTTAGGAAAGATAAAATGAAGTCTTCACTGACCTTATCAATGTTAAAACAAAGATAACAAAGTGGAGTGCTAAGCCATGTGATTTTTAAACTAAATCAGCAAGCTATTTCCTTGCTTATTTTATTGTATATAAAATATTACTATCTTCTAAAAATGTTTATTGTAATCTATAATCACAAATGAAGTATATATCTCAAAAGGCTCAGGTCAGCCTGGAATTTGTTATGTAACCCAGGCTAGCCTCAAACTGTCAATCCTCTTGCCTTAGCCTCTAGAGCACTGGGATTATAGGCATGAACCACAATATGCAGCTCAGATTTAGGTCCTTTTTCTATCAACTGATGTATATTTAGCAAGTTACCTAGTATCCTGATGTGTAAGACACAATAAAAACTCAGCTTGCATAAGAATTATAAGGATTTGAAATGCTATGTACCAAGAGTTCTAGTACATCATGCACATTTAAAACATTCACTGTTTATCATGATGTTTAGTAAAATGATAACAGCACCACAAGAACGTCATACTATTTGCTTTTTTAAGAAAGTACTATATCCCTTTAAACACTAACTAAAATTCAAAACATAAATTAACAAGTCATACTCCCGCAAATAGTCCATATCCACGAATAGCAATGGATAACTCTTTGTTGTTTGAATCCATGTTTCTAATGATTCCATAGAACTGATCCATAAAGTACTGCAGCATACTCTTATGCACCTCTGCATCTTTTGCCACCATAGAAGAAACCTGAAATTGCACAGTATTTATTCTTTAGAAAATTTTACGACCAAAAAAAAAACAGTTATACAAATTGTTGAACTAGAATTATTTGGATACTTTTACTTCCTATGTGTTAATACTGGGGCTTAAACTCCAGCAGGGACTTAGAGAAAGAGAGAGAGAGAGACAGAGAGAGAGAGACAGAGAGAGAGAGACAGAGAGAGACAGAGAGAGACAGAGAGAGAGAGAGAGAGTGTGTATGTGTGTGTGTGTGTGTGTGTCCTGGGGCTTGAACTCAGGGCCTGGACACTGTACTTGAGCTTGTGTGGGCTTGCTTTGAGCTCATATTTCAGCCTATTCAGTAGCAAGGATCACAGATATGAGATACTGGTGCCTGCCTCAATCATTTTTTGACTCACAGCTGGTGCCCCACCATTTGAGGCACACCTCCACTTCTGGATTTTTGTTGGTTAATTGGAAATAAGAGTACTGAGGATTTGTCTGCCCAGAATAGACTAACTTCAAACCACAAATCTCAGATCTCAGCCTCCAGAGTAGCAAAGATTATAGGCATGAGCCACTGAAGCCAAGCTAATCTGGTATTTTTTGCTTATGTGGTGCTGAGGAATTGAACCCAGGGCCTCAGGCATGCAAGGCAAGCGCTCTACCACTGAGCCACCTTCCCAGCCCCTAATCTGCTTATGTGGTGCTGAGGAATTGAACCCAGGGCCTCAGGCATGCAAGGCAAGCGCTCTACCACTGAGCCACCTTCCCAGCCCCTAATCTGGTAT